AGCTTCGATATATGTACAATCGGAAATAACCGATATAGGGTTCCAGCGATCTCCAATTTTACAGCATGATCTCCACATACGTCCGCAACTCGGAATGGCCCATGCCACATGTGCGCTAGCTTCTTCGCACATCCCTCTTTAACTCGGTCCAGGTATAGCCAAACTTGCGCTCCTACTTCGATCTCGTGTGGTTCCAGATCTTCGTTGTGTCGATCCGCTCGCTCCTGGATCGCGGCTTGTAAACGATCGTTCACTGCAGATCGGGCTCGCTGGTATTGTCTTTGGATTTTGTATCTCCACCTCTTTGGATCGCGATCTCGTGTCCCCGTATTCCCCACTGGTAGCGTAGCCTCCAAAGTCGATCGCGGGTCCCACCCATGAATCAGATAAAACGGGGTATCCCCCCGGATCCGATCTTGTGCAGTGTTAATGGCAAATGTGAGCCGCTCAGCATACTCATCCCAGTCTCGCTGGTCAACTTCAGCCACGTACATCTTGAGCGAATGTGTCAGGGTTTGCACCATTCGTTCGGCTGTTCCATTTGCTTGTGGCCTGTAAGCCGTAGTAGCACGCTGTTTTTGTCCTACGATCCGACTGAAGGCTCGAAAGAAGTCGGACATAAATCCCGGTTCTCGATCGTGCCTGATAGCCTCGCTAGCTCCGAAGCATCGAAACACACATTCTTCGTAATTCTCCGCTACTGTTTGTGCCGTCCGAGAGGAGCTAGCCTTTGCAATCACATATCCCGAGAAAAGGTCGACCCAAATGAGCAGTTCGGTGTTCCCCTTGATGGACTTGAAACGACGGTATATGATCCATGGCGATGATCTGGAATGGATAGGTTGCATGTAGATTGCCCGGGGATTTCCCATGAATCATCGGGTTTCCTTACCCGGTCTTACAGTCGATACATTCGCCCACATATCGTTGAACGCTCCGATACAGTCCTCTCCAATGAAATCGCGATCTGACCCTCTGATAGGTTCGGCCAATACCCTGATGGCCTCCTTCCAGACTCGTGTGATAGTGATGCAAAAAATCCTGCTGCAACGTCTCAGGGATCACCAACCGCATCAAACCATCGCGATCTTCCGACTCTCTTTTCGCCATGGGGCAAAAAAATAGCAGATTGTTCTCATCGATCTCGTATTCCGGCGCCAGTTTGGCGCACATCTTCACTTCTACCGCATCCAAGTTTGATACATCGCCACTTAGATATGTCTTGAGATTGACAATCCAACGCTCTTCATCTTGAGCTTGGACAATTCGTTGAATCCTGATCCTCTGTACTATCTCCTCCTGTATCACTTCAGGTTCATGACGTATCCTCCTGGCTGATCTCGCGATCGCAGTTACCCGAGCTAGCTGACCATCTTGCTTGGGCTTCAACAATTCATCGAGACGGTTCAGAGTCATCAGATCTTGCCGATCCTCTTCAGCTACAACCGTTCTTCCCTTTTCGCTCTGCAATGCTGTGCTGGCTAGTCGATCTGCGCTCTGATTCCACTCTCGCTTCATATGCAGAAACTCGTGACTAGGCCATGACTGCAGCTTCTCCAGCGCTTTGTGTCTCAGAAGCTGAAGGCCCGGTGCCTTGCAGTCGATCTCACCGCGCATCTGTCGAATCACCAGACTGGAATCTCCACACAGTATTACTCGCCCCCTATCCAGATCGGCGAGTAACTCAAAGCACAGTAGCAAGCCATTATACTCAGCTTCATTCACAGTCAGATCGTGAACATATCTCGATTCGGCCGCCACGATCGTCCATTCGGGTAACTTCCATATCACGGCACTGAACGACCCTCCTTTCTTTTTTATCCTAGCCGATCCATCAAAACTGGCCACCAGCAACTCCTCATCTGTTTCCACCGTTGGAGGAGGCATCGATATTTTGAGTCGACAGTCTTTTCGTGGGGAGATCGCAATCAGCATCTCTTCCACTTCGCCTCTCGGAGTGATACTCGCTGCTAACATGCCCAGGATCTCTTCCTCTCCTCTTTCACATTTCTTCACCTCCATAGTCCAATTTGACAACAAAGCAGCCCACCGTCCTAATCTCCCGTTGAGCCCTCGAGACTGCATCAACCAGGCTAACGTAGAATGTCGGGTCAGTACAGTGATCTCCCGCGAGGCAAGCGTAGTATAGCATACATCCAACACACGAAGTAGCGCCAGCACTTCTTTTTCTCCCGTTCCGTAGTTAAGCTCATTAGGCTTTAAAGTGCGGCTAGTAAACGTCACCGGATGGTACACGCCATCGTACTCCTGTATCAGGGCCGCTGAGACAGCCCACTTGCTAGCGTAGACCACGATTACGGGGGACCGATATGGGTCGAAATGCTTGAGTGTGGGAGCTGTAGCTATCTTAGCTTTTAGCATAGTGAAAGCAACCTTGGCTTCCGTCCATCGACCCTCGTTGGAGCATTCGTCTCCTGCTGCAAGCTGAGATCGGCCGATCTCGAAGAAATCCGATTCTCTTAACTCATACAACACCGCGGCATACACCGCGAAATCCTCAATGAAGCGACGGTAGTAGTTCAAGCTCCCGAGAAAGGATTGCATAGCTCGTAGCGTGCTAGGAAACGGGATGTTAACCAACGACTCTAGGTTCTTGGGCTGAGCCTCCAGACCATCCATCGACACTCGATGTCCCAAATAATCGACCTTACGGCACCCCCAAAAGCTCTTCGTGAGGCTGATAGACAGATTCCACTTATCACATGCCTCCAGCAACCGTTCTACTTTTGTGTACAAAGATCCCCATGACGTGGCTGGTATGAGAATATCGTCAATGTAAGATCGGCGTCCCAGTATAGACGGTCGTCGATCTGTCTCAGGTTCTCCATCTTTGAACACGTCGGTCGGGCCATCAGAAGCTGATCTCTGGCCGATCTTGAGATATCCATACAACGCATTGTCCACCAGACGTTGGTAGATCTGGGGCGCGTTCTTAAGCCCAAAAGGCATTCGCAGCCACTCGAACAAGCCAAACGGTGTGACAAACGCTGAGATCAGTTTTGCTCGTTCAGTCATTTCGACGACCCAAAATCCACTAGCCATGTCTAGCGAACAGTACCATAGAGCTTTATCCAGATCTTTCAACAGATCGCTGATCAACGGCATGGGATAAACCATCAGACGCGTCAGCTGGTTCACTCTTCGATAATCAATGCAAAGGCGAATATCCACTCCGTTCTTCTTGATGATCACCACCACTATCGGAGACGCCCAAGGTGACGTGGATGGCTGAACGATTTTGGCTGCTAATAGTCCTTTGATGAGATCTGACAGCTTCTCCCGATATTTGGGTGCGACCGGACGCACTCTTTGCGCTATCGGTGCTGCCCCACCGACATCAATATCACAGATCGCGCCTCGTGCTGCTGGTGGTAGAGCATTACCTTTACCCATGAGGAGGTGACGGCTCTTCGAGATCAGCGATCTGAGCCGTTGTTGATCTGTGGTGAGAGGCACATCGGGATCACCGATCTGAATGTCTTCAATCGTAACTTCTTCCGTAGTCGCCGACATCTCTGGTAGCACGGCCATATGCTGCTCTATATCTTCCGCAAACAAATCTCCGCTCTCGTGGTGATAAACTGGTATTTCTGCAATCTCGACGTCTTCAGTATTTAGCATTATTTCTTCTTTAGGCTCCTTCGTCTCTTCCGGCTGGCCCAATTTCAACAGTCGGTCAGTCGGCTCAGCCTTCGGTAGAGACGATCTGTCACGTAGCCCTTCTTGCCCGGTGTCGCGGTCTCCCTTCGTTGCATGTTGGGTACCGATCTCATGACCGTTCTCCATCCGCGATAGTTCGGCTCCCCTGACCGTTACTTCCCTCGCAACTACAGCATCTGCCTTTTGCGAATCGTCATCGTTAGCTTGCGTCGTTACCGTGGAGATCGCCGGAGACAGGTTCTGTAACGCATCAGACGGACGTTTCAAGATGCGTTTGGGAGCGGCATACGTAGGACGATCTACCAATGGTCCGATCGGTTCTTTCGGGATTTCGTTCACTCGATCCGTCGTAGCCTCATATGCCAGAGTTTGCCATTCCTTGTACTTCCCCGACCCGACTGTCACCAAACCTTGAGTTCGCGGTACCATATCGCCTTCGATCCACATGCCTAATATAGTGTGGGTGGGCAGTATGATCTCACGGTCGCCAATGTTGGTCATCTGCAGGTATTTCGTCTTACCCCACCCCGAGATCACAGTGGGGACCCAATCTAGTCCTCTAGCGACCCACAACTTCATCTTAGCCCATCCGATCCCGATCTTCACTTCCCTTGACTCTCCGACCGGGATCACCACGTGTTGGTCCTTCGCCGTTATATGTTGTATCTTCGATCCGTACGCGGGGCGACGTCCTGCGAGATGAATGCGGATTTCTTCTGGTAGACATAGCGCGCCATCCGCTAGATCGAGCCGCACTCCAGCAGGCACCATAAAATCCATACCCAGAATCGCTTCTTGCCCTGCCAGATCGCCTACCCATACATTGAAATAGTATACCAGCGATCCCGCGAGGGTCACCTTGATCTTGGTACATCCTACCGTCATGTACGGAGTTTCTCCAATCCCGATACATTCTTGTCGTTGACTTTCGTCAATATTGCAACCGACCTCACGAGCAAAGGTGGTGTCAATGATCGACACTTCAGCACCAGAATCAAATAACAGAGTAGCTTTTACGTTGTTGATCTTGCCAACGGCTTTCGCTTGTTTGGACCACTTCCCGGGTGAATAATGTTTCCAGTATCCGCGAGATTTACCATAAGCGAGCTCGATCTCCATAGCTGGTTCAGATCGTGAGTACTCATCGATCCGCTTCAGATGGGACACGGAAGCGACACGTTTTAGCTTCGAACGAGATAAATTTGTTTCCACGTCAATATCCTGCTTACTCTCGCGATCTGTCTTCTTTTTTTCCACGTATGCAATAATGCAGAGCCCAGAACGCTCGGCTCGTACCAGATTCAAACCTGGCGAGCGTCCTAGTTTAACATCTTCTCGGCCTTCTCTGGTAGCATCCCCGCATGCTTATTCGGGACGTACCACTGACGGATCATGTTGTAAAACTCCTCCATGGGACACTTCCCCGGGTCGTGCATCTCACCGCAAGCACGACACACGAAAAAACAATTGTCAGAGGGGTTTCCTTTACGCCCACACTTCTGGCAAGTGAGCCGCTTCCAGCAACCGAGATCTCCATGCTTGGTCGATCGGCAATGAGTACACGGCTTCAATGGCATATTGCGATCTTGATAGTCTTGACGAGTGTTCGGGTCGACCGATCTCGCGTTTGCTGCAACGTCATTGGGGGATGAACGGCTATCCGCAGTAGCAGCCACATGGATCGATCTCAATCGATCTTCCATATCCGATCCGCAGGTGTCCGATCCTGACTCGCTGCAGACGTCCTCGGTACGGACCATCCTTACCGCTCGTGCAGGCTTAGACAGCGCTGGACCCTGAGTTCCCTTCTGCCTGAATTTGGACGATCCCATCATCACTTTCCCTTGACGCGATCTCCCTTGTTGATATCTGTGCAGTATCTTTTGCATGGCCTCCGCGTCTTCTACATTCAGCAGTAGCAATTGATTGGACAGATCGGGGTCGTCCAAGGTGTCAATGAAATGATTGACATGTTCCTTGCGCGCAGCTGGAAATCCAGTCATCACCGGTATCTTCGCCTGCATTCCCATCACATTAAGCCGATACAGGTACTGTAAAGGATCTTCCTCCGATCGTTTCTTTGCATGGTAGTACTGCCTGCTCGCGGACATCCCGTGTCCCGCATACTCCACAAAAAAACTGTTCATCAATTCTTTCCAATTGAATCTCGTCGATCTACTCAGCTGTCGATACCAGTAGCGGGATGGGCCCACCATGAGATCACCGAAGACCAGACATCTCTCCTCGTCCGGTGCTTGGTCCCGGATAAACGCTGATTTCACTTTGCCGATCCAGGTCCGTGCTTTGTCGTCTTCCCGATCCTTCCCTGAGAATTCTTTCAGCTCAGAAATCGCTGAGATTCTAATCCTCTGCGTGATGCTTCCCCCTCCGGTAGTCGCACCGGTCGCGGCTACATGAGGGCGCCATGGTTCGGGCATCCATAGATCATCCGTGTCGTATTCCGCCCCCTCATGGATATGTTGGTAAATGTCCGACCCCACCGACTCCATGTCCACATCCGGCATGTCAAGGCTTTCGTGTGAAGGTTGGAGCAAAGTACGTCGATCTGGGTAGCGGTTTGGCTGTCGATTCATTCGCTGAGCTGTACGTTGATCCGCCTCGTACTTCTTCATGGCTGAATTGAAGTACCGACTTAGATCGCCCTCTTCTTGATCCTCCAGCCCAGTGCGGGTACTGGCCGATCTCTGCGGCATGTTGCTCTTGGCTTGTCCCTTATAGGCGTCGATCTTGGCTTGTCCGATCTTGTCCTTTAAGAACCTTCCACCCGATGGTCCTAGAGACATCTGACGAATGCTGATGGATCCATCTGACTCGCTCTCGGAGTCATCCGAGGCGTAGCGGGGCGATCCCGCGGGGTGTTTACAGAGCGAGCCCGAGGGCGTCCCGATCTTGTCTTCAGGAGTATTCGCTTTGCCCATCAGCATTATCATGATCTCTACAAACTCATTCGCCGCGTCCTTCAACTGTTCCAAGCTGCAACTCAGCAGTTCATCTCCATCAAAAGCGTCAGGGCAGATATCCATGTCGTCCAACATCTGCAAAATCACATTGATCTTGTCGACTTTGTTGGTCCCGTTAGTGGGACCGAGATCGGCTTATCCAGAGGACCAATCACCTTGGGCCTTAATATCTTGAACACTGGGTCCGTCTTGAGCAGCGTCTTCAACTGGCCATAATAGTACTGCCATTTTGCACGCTCCCGCGCTTCACCCGTCGTCTCCTTCTCCATGGACGCGATCTTTATTGGGTTATATTCCGTCTTTGGCATCGCGATCTTATCTGGTGTTTCATCGTATTCCTCTTTGGCTCCGATCTTCGATTGCACGGTTCGGCCGATCTGGCGATCTTTGACATCTGATCCCATCGATCTCGTCGCGGATCGTTCTGATGTGGTCGACCTCGCGATTGTGCTCTTCGGCTTGAGGTCGGGCGATCTATCGACTAAGATATAGGGTTTGGCTTTCGCCGATTTGGTTTTCACCATTGGATTTTCATCCAGCAGATCGCTCTGCCAAGAGCGATCTGCGGTGGCCCCCGAAGGGACCCTAGGAGGGAATTGAGGTTTATCTTCCAGATCGATCTCTCGATCTTCCTCTTTCATTTTCATTTCATCAGAGCCCCTCCCAAAGCTCTGATGATCTGAGGATCTTGTGCTTCTGCGTGTCTGCGTCGATCCCTTTGTCGCTGACACTTCAATCCCAGGTTCTTGCTTAATCTTGACATCTTCGCCAGTGGACTCACGGTGAAATCCAGAGGCCTCAGAAGGTCCGGGCACGCGCACCATTGTGGTAAAGTCGATCTCACAAAATTGCTTGTATGAGTGTCGATCTTCCACTTGCCCAGACTTGCCGACTCACGGAGGGGGTACTCCGATCCGTGCCTTGTTGTATGACCTTGTGCTCACCTTGTGTACCCGTCGGTTGGGCTGGCTTGAGATCTTCGTAACGGCCTTGGGAGATGTCGATCTCGCTGAGAGGTTGGGTTGAGGGTTCGCTTCCGGTGCGGAAATCTTCACACCACGAACGGGGGTTCTGCGATCCCGATCTTGGATCGCACCGATCTTGATTTGTCTTCGAGATCGGGGTCTTTGCTGTGCGGAAATCTTCACTCAGCAAATAAAAGTCCTGCGTCGATCTTGCCTTGGGATCGGTCCGATCTGGTCTTGGGATCGGCCGATCTTGCCGGAAGTGCGCAATTTGGGTAGATCGGTGTCTTGTTTCGCCAAAATGAAACGTGCCGATCTGTCCAGGGGATCGCTTCGATCCTGCTCGGTCTTGTCTTGACCGCCTTGTCCAGATCTTCTGACCACTTGAGCCGTCTCGCGATCCTGTGTCCAAAATCCTTTTCCTGTTCCGTTGTGTGCTGCTACCCTAGCAGTTGAGTTGAGTGTGAGTACTTGATCGATCCGGGCCAGATATCCCGGGATCGCTCTTCTCGATCTTGGCCAACAATCCAAGATCGGTCTTCTGTGTCCCTGTAACACGCGTGCCTTAACCCGCCGGGGAAGCCAAATCAATCTTGCCTGGAGAAGAGGGGAGGATAACGTGCGTCGTGAGCAGAAGAAGTAGAGTTCAAGTCTGTTTATTAACCAACCAAATTACTATCCAACCTACCCTTAAGCCTATTCTTAACTATAGGTCACTCTTCAAACCGATATCGCCTTGAATCTGGATCGCCCCCTTGCCACGTGTCGAAATTTCGTGCCCTGTACTCCAATGATAGCGCCAATATCCCCGATATCGTACCTAGAGCACCAAATGGACCAAAATCTCCTATATGGTACCAAATACCCATTCTTGGCACCCAAGTACCCAAAATATGACCCAAAATGCCGAATGTGTCCCAATTCACTTTGCGACGTCAATTCGGACAGCTTCCACTGGCTCTTTCGGCATGAAACTTCTTGACATCACTTAGTGACCTCTATCAAGTATATTCCACATGATCCAGTATCTTCATCAACCATATATTCATGATCAGTGTGGAACATGACCGATCTGTCATCCAATATCGAGATGTTGGAGGTCGATCCGGTCTAAATCGGCAATTAACACTTTTTCATCTCCTCATACGTGCTTCAATATCATCCTCCAGTGTTATCCAATCGACAACTTCATTCATACGTCTCGACATCGGTTTCCTTGACTCCCCTGAGTATGCAAAACTTCCAGATCGGTGTATAATTAACCAAAATCAGTACTCCCAATTTAGGATCAGTAAAGAGTATCACCGATCCGTATGGTGTTGCACCTTCTTTGACGATTCACCGACCCGTACCACCTGGTCCCAGATGCACTTTGGGGAGTCACCTTGTCCCAGATGTGTCAATTCTCCAACAAACCGTTGCCACAACATGTCGATCTGCGATCTGATCTTAGCCTGCTTCAATGTACGTATACTTCTTCTTGACCAACATTCCAATGAGCTGTATGACTTCATCCCGATGTCTGGTTCCAGATCGCCCCATAACATTCTGCAAGATGTTACACCTTCGTCGCAGAGTCATATCCCATCACCCGGTCCCAGATCCTTGTCCCAGATTGTTCCATGTAAATCGTTCCAGATCGCTCCGTCCCAGGTCGACCCATACCCATTAGTCTAACGACAGTTGGATCGGTTCGCCGATCCCGTTAAGATCATCTTCCACCTCCGTATTGGATCGCCGAGTCTCATGGCCTCCTTTTCCACCAGTAAGCGGCGCTTTAAAGGTGTGGCCACCGATCCTCGTACAAAATTTGAGTAGTGACTTTGCCACAGTATGGTCGATTACGAGAGCGACACCGTCACGTCAAGAGTCTATGACCCGCCTCCAGCTACGACACCGGCGCATGACACCACGCGTGCATCGCGCTAAATCCATTTGTGGAATGCGAGTAGGTACCTTCACCACTTGCACAATGTGCAACCGTAGAGCCTGCGCTGCGTGTCATGCACAACACCTTTGATGAAGATCAGGCTCAGTATCTTCAGTCGTCCGATGACCACAGGCGTCAAGCACAATGTGTAGCCACAGCGTATGCTCACAGTGGATAACGCTTCACCCCACTATATGTGGATGAACGCATTCGTCAGACTGCCAGGCAGTCACTCGCAACATGGGTCACGGGACAGAAGGCTGAAACAGCCACAACGATAGCGGAGAGAGAGGCCCTCAGAGAGAGATACCTGGGGGTCGAGCGTACGGCCGTCCAACCTCTTATCTTGACAGGTTGATACAGCAAGCACGAGGTGCATCAGTGATCGCCATGCGTGCAGTACCTATCGTCCTCTTTCCGTGGTGATACGGAGGTAGAAAGTAATGTCGTCTTCACGCGTTGGGCTCACAGAGCTCGTCATACACCAAGCCTGTGAAATCTCCAAGAAAGCTCTTCTCTTACGGACGTTCGGCTTGAGCAAAGCTGCACTTTGATTTCGCGAAACCAAAGGCCAAATTCCAGATGCGATCGTTCTATCGCACCCGCTATGCTGCGGCAGCCACGGACCCGCGCCTCAATGCACCTGCTGCAGCTGCAGCCCCCTCCACTCCTGCACCGACAAATGATAAGTGGTATGGGTCGACTTTACCCTGAAGGCGACGTTCAAAAAAGTCAACGGCATATGGACCATACTGCCGCCGTGGTACTTCGTACTCCCATGACCTCCCCGAATCAGGGTGTTACCACCACTGTACCAAGTGCTAGTGCTGACTGTCGCGACGACATCGCTCGACATGGTACTGTTGATCCGGTTGCTCTTTAACAAGAGAAGTTGGTGGCCGATGAATCTTGACGCGTCGTCGACGAGTAAGTGCACGAGGTGCATGATCTACCTGACAGCGAGGGGCGTCTTAAAGGACAGCTGGATCTTCTCTCGAGGGTGTCTCGACTTGTGGCATCATGACTCTTTCGGCGCAAGCGCCTCGTGATCCACCAGCGATGAATCAAGAAAAAGATGAAGCAAGGCGACGTAAAGCACTGGGATTGTTCTCATCTTGCGTGGAAGGCTGAGCGTGTACGCTAGGCCTTTCTTGGCCACAACCGTGAGCGGCCCAATCAAGCAAGGACGCAACTTGGTACCGCAGACCGCTGACATCACCTTGGTAGGTAGATTCTTAGCGTTTAGCAAGACTAGGTATCATACTTCATAACTCTTGATATACTTTCTGCCTTTGGCATCATCTTGTTCCTTTTGTTTGTTCTGGCTATCAGCCATTGCATTGCATACATGTTGTAAGACATTCGATCGCGTTGCGAGAAACTCGCTCACCTGTTCTGAACAGTTTTAAGGCTGACATCAGCAAGCCGATCGTCTACCCCCCCCCCACCAAGCCCAGAACCACGTAGTGGTAGCTTAAAAGACCGCGTGGGTGAGTGAGACAATTAACGTAGAATGGAGTAATGTCATTAGAGAAATTAACAGCGTTGTTTAATGCAAACTCGACCACAGAGAGCATATAGATCCAACGCCTAGGCGTATCAGAACAAGCACTGCGCAAAATGTCACCAATGACGCGTTTGACACGCTCAGTTTGACCATCGGTCTGCGGATGATACGCTGTGAACCTATCCAATATATTGCCCAGCACCTTGGAGATGGAAGTCCAAACTTTCCAGTGAAACGTGGATCACGATCAGAGACAATTGCCACAGGCAAACCGTGTTGATGAAACACATGGTCGATAATCAGCTTTGCTGTAGCTTTGCAATCGATGGAATCGGCGCAGCCGCTGAACGAGCCATCTTGCTCAAATGGTCGACAAAGACCACAATACCAGCGTTGTCGTCCAAATCCTATGGTAGGCTAAACACAAAGTCCATACCGATGAACTCCCAACACCCAGTGGGTATAGGCAGACTAGCAAGCGGTGCAACCGCATGTGCTGAGAGTTGGACCTGTTGACACGTTTCACATGTACGCACATATGTACTCACCCATTTGTACAACTTGGGCCACCAATGCGGCTGGCTATCTGAGCTATAGGTCATCTAACGACCAAGATGACCTCTCAAAGCAGTGTCATGTGCCTCAAAGAGGATACGATACT